CATTTGGTTTCTTCTGGCATAAGGTAAAGTAGCTGTAGAAAAAGTAGCAAGAATTTATAAGAATTATGAGAATCATTCACTCTACTTTACAAGGATAGTAAATATGTATCCCTATGCTCCAAGGCACACATTAATCATTGAATGCCAGAAGTTAGGGGTCCCAATGGACCGATTATTTAACTTTTTCACTATATCTTATTGCTTATCCCGCCTCAAAAGCATCAGGCTCAAATAGAGAAACAGAGACATTACTGTTTTGACAATATCTATTCATTTTGATTTTGAACCCTCTTTTCTCTTTCATGTTACCTTTATTGACAAGTTATTAGAATTGACATGGTCAGATACAATAATTTATTGCACACAAATTAAGATTTTAAACCTCACAGAAAGACCCAAGAGGATAGGAATCAAAGCCATTTTACAATACAAAATTTTAGTGCCAGTGAAGCACATTGGTTTCTGTGCTAATTCATTAATCTCATTGATTGGGAAGCAGTTACATTTTTATGTAACAATAGACTCCATAATGCAAAAGCCTACATTCATTCTAAATGAATAATGTTGACTTTTCTGTTCTTTCCTCATGAACCTTGTAGTAAATGGAGTTTCACTGAAAGACAATAAGTTTGAAGTATTAAAAAGTTCAGCTGAGTAAACCGATTTGTAATTCAGATATGGCAAACCAACGTGCAATGCTAAATAAATTATTTTTCTTTAAAATTAAAGCGTAAAAATCATAGCTTCATTGGAAAAATGCTTGAAATTTTTGACATTTCAGCTGTGGATCAGCTGTCAATTTCTCCTTCATTAAATGGAAGTTAAACAAAATAAAGCAGAGAGACATTTTTTCACTAGGTTTACTCCTGACTTGATTCTCAGCAGAGATGTCTCTTATATCACTGTTCACATCTTCAAAAGTGATATAGTCAAAGAATGGTAAAGCAATGTAGGTTCCTTCCCTCTGTACTACTTTCTAGTGAAATCCAGTGGGGTTTTTTTGTTTGCTTGTTTGTTCATGACTAGTGCTGAATCTTGAAACATTGAATACTTAGAGAATCAGAGAATCACAGAATTGTTGAGATTGGAAGGGACCTCTGAGATCATCCATTCCAATCCCCCTCCTCATTTCCATTTCACTGAGCAATGGAGAGAGCAAAAGTTGCACTACATCATTTCCTGAAAACGGTGAATACATACACTGATATATGTGTACTATAAGGCATATGTTCAAGCATAATAAAGCATATGCTTTCCTTTTAGGGACATCCCTTAGCTTTTCCAAGTATAGATGGAATAATAAAAAAATTAAAATGGCCTCAAGAAATTATTCCTTTGCCAGGTACCCTTCATAATACAATTCTTGTCAGATATCTTTTTCTCCCCTCATTGAGACTTCACAGCCAACGTCCCACAAACTTCACATGGAGTCATCTTTGAATAACAGTAGAGGCTGTCCATTGTTTCAACTCTTCTTTCTAAGCACTGGAGAGTCATATGTATATTGTGATGCTTTTAAGATTAATGGCTTAAATGCACTAGCAGGAGAATGTTCTGAGCTATACTGAATATTTTTTTCTCATATATAGCTACTGTTCAATAAAGAAATCTAATTATTTAAAGTAGGAAATGCGAGTTTTCACAGCAACTGCTACATATAAACTGAAGCATGTCTGAGGAATTTAAACATGGCTCTGTGATCTAATTAGTATAACTTTGTTTTGAAACATTTTCATGATATTATGTAGTTAGTAATAAAGCCTAGCAAAAAATCAGTGAAAGACAGGGAGGTGATTATCCATTAGAAGCTTTAAATGTTCCAAATGGCAAAAGACTGGGCAATCAAAAAACAAGCTTTATATTATAATGAGATACTGTAATATTTATCACAAAGTTTGGTAGAATTTTTTTACTGATTAATTTTTTCTGAACCGGAGCGGGACAACACTTTAAATTGCAGCCTCTGAGTTTCACAGGTACTGCTGGGGACAGGTATGTGATACTTGGCAGCATTGCTTTATCCAGGTTGATGCAAATGTTATATTTGGGTCTAAATTCCCAAGAGATTTATCTTCTGCTCTGCTGCAGTTTTAGCTTTTCTTCAGAAAACAACTCTGAATCTCAGCTGAAATATCTGAATTTTACAATTTTCCAGTCAAAATATTAGTGCTAGTATGATTTTGGTATTAAATTAGACATTTATATTTGGGAAACTTAAGTGTCTCTTCCATAACATAATTTCATCTTCTGGTATGTAAGGAAAATAAAATCAAACAAGTTTGCTTTTGGGTTTAGTCTCTTCTGCTATAAATGTTTGGATAGCTGTGAACTACGAAAGTTAATTTCATTTAGGGGAAAGGTTCACTTCTATTAGTGATTATTGAGATATGAAAGGTGACACATATGTTTAAATCCTGATGTGTAATGGTCAACAGAGTCTACTTATTGTATTGAAAGTATAGCCTAGGTGTAGGAATTAAATATATATATATATTAAAAATACTGACATATTTATAGCTAAAAAAACCCCAACTCACAGTTCTGTTAAAATAGATTATTTTTAGGAGTGGTGTTCTGTTCAGTGATATTTTTTTTTTTCCCAGGAGCATGTCTAAGTATATTTTTTGAACTTCTCATCTCAATAAAGTCAAAGCTGTGGTATAGACCTATGGGGTTGACTGAACAGGTGAAAAGCTTGCTTTATGGTCACACTGCAATCCTAACAGAGTATGGATGTAACATCAGAGATTATATTCAATACTTTATGGCATTCTTATTGATCAAAGAAAAACGCAGTGGTAGGATTGGACATTTTTTTAAAACACTATTTTCATGGGAACTTCCAAAGTCTGCAGTATTTATTTAAGACTGGAGAGAAAAGAAAATGAAACACTGGGATATCATTTCCCATAAAATTAAGTCTATTCTCTTTCTATTTTCTGCAATATCATCACTGACATTTTTACTAGAAATTAAACCTGAGTCTCCCTTCAGTAATTGATATCTAGTTACATTGCCTTCAGATTCAGATCACATACTTTATCTGAAGCCAGTTATTTCTTTAACTGTAAGATCTAAGAATATTTTTCTTTTTAATATATTTATCTTTTATAATAAGTGATATCCTGGACATTTAACATAAGGCCACATCTTTCAACACTGTGTTAGTGTATCTGTAAGTACACTGCTTCATTATACCTATAAAACTTGGTGAACTGCTTTGTTCCATAGATAAAAGTTGAATTTTTCACTCTCTGCTGAAATTAGTCTTTCAAAATATGGAAAATCCTCACTAATGCTCTGGTGAAATTACTCAAGCCATTGTTTTTTGTCATTGGTCTACTTCCAAAACTTCCCCAAGAAAAACACATTGACATACCCTGTTTGATGATGTACCAAACATCCGTTCAGTGAAGTGTTGAGTGACTGATCTTTTTCTAGACAGGTTACTGAACGTGTATGATAAGGAGACCTCCTTCTCAGCCTCTATTGTCATGCTTCCTCCTTGTATGCCCACTTGCATTGTACTCATAGAGCTAATTTTCACAAATTCCGGGCAAGAGCACCAGATCGATAAATCCACACAAAACAGCAGTATATTCTGCTGTCTAAGTACAGCAGCAAAGAAGACAAATTCATTCTAGCAGGTTTTTCAGACAACATGATTGACTTTAGCTGACTCTTCCCTTAATGCATTTTTTCAAAGCTACAGGAAGAAGATTTGAGTACATACAGCAAGTTCACAAAGAGCAGCTTTCAAGCTGCTTTTAGAGAAAAGAGCATTTTTAACACAAGCACCAAGAAAGTTGTTCCTTTAAAAATGGGGTTCTCTGTAGCTTCCGTTAAACCAGCTTAACAAAGAAGGTAACACCATGACTGAAATGTTTATACTTTATCACAGTCCCTTTGAATAACAATAAAGAAATTATCACTAGTTTATTCATTGTTCCTAATGATACAGAAAGAAGTCCTTAAAAAATGAATAATAACACAGAGGCTCAGACTGTAAAATCAATATGTCAGCTCAGTAGAGCTGAGCTGCTTTCTCATGCTGCTGTTCCAACAGTAGAGCTTACCTTCTGAATTATATATGTATTGACCTAATTACATAAATATTGACTTTGCTTTATATGAAGCCTTTTTTAGTCTCAGTGTAATTACAATGTCAATATTTGTTGCATGTAATAACACTGAATTTAGACTTGTTAATTTTGATTGATAGTGGCATGCTACAAGTTATTGTACGGGCTAAGACAGTCTAGAAGTATTCATAGCAAATACAAGCAGCTGACAATGCTACCAAATCTGAATGTGTCTCCAAGACCTTCTGTTTCTGATTGTTTAACCAGGCAGAGGAAATATAATGGGTGATTACATCCCTGTTCCATACAAATCACTGTTTTGCAATGAAGAAATATTTACTCTGGTCTCAAAAAGTACAAATAGTCAGCCAGGAAGTCAGTAAAAGGGCTCCTGTTCAAAGTTGGCTTTATAATTTTGCTTTCCAGTGTTGTAAAGTCTGTTTAAATTGTGCCAAAATGGAGGTTTTATACAGCAACAAGGATACTTTGCTGCATACCTTCCATCAGGTATATGTTATTTTGGAATAATATTGGGGCTCAGACACAAGCAATTTCACATTAAATTATTTCCCTTTTCCTTCAAATCCAAGAAAGATGTGAGCAGTGGACTTTTAGGTGCTACTGGGGCTTGCAAAACTAGTCACTTCAGTCTGAAAATGTTTGTTGAGCTATATTTTTACAAGAACAACTTTGTTCAGGGCTGGCAGACCTCTGACCAACTTTCAGCAATGAATAGCCGTATAGTATAGTGTGTGTTTCTAGATGCAATTATAAAGGATTTTGAATTTGGCAGTAACACGAGAATTAGAAACCAAACTGTGACAGTCTGTGTGCTGAGGATATTTAAATTAGTTCTAGCTATAACGTTGCCAGTAGTGACAAGGCATGCATCACACTATATTTTCTTATTTGTCTCAGCAGGGATGCCAGACAAGACGAACCTCAGTGACGTAAAGCAAATCCATCAAACCGAGGATGGCAGCACTTTAGATGCAACTGGAGCAGGATGTACAACAGTGGCTGATTATATGACATTTATGCTGATTACTTTGGTAACACTATTTCTCAGTCTTTGGTAACTGTTTAGCTCTGGCTTGATATATGTGTCTCATTGTCATCTGTTTATCCCCACTCACAAGCCCGGAATAAGGGATCTGGTGGGTACAGCTATATTTATGATAGCTTGTGCGGTATCAGTCTCTTTCTGATATTAAGCCTGAATATTAACAAAGTTGTTTTCGTAATATTTTTCCTGTGGGTGGTTTTTTTTTTTTTTACACCTGAGTAGTCATGCAAAATCATGTGGTTTTTTATAATATTTTATGTAAAAAATAAAGTGACTAGATATCACAGAATCACCAAGTCCTGGAAGAGGGCCCCGGAGATGATCTAGACCAATCCTGTGCAGAGTAGAGTCAGCCAGAGCAAGCTGCCCAGGGCCAAGTCCAGTCAGTATTTGACTGTCTCCAATGATGGAGACTCTACACCTCTTTGGGCAACATGCTCCAGTGACTGAATAAACAGCTAAAAAATTTTTTTTCTTACATTTAAATGTTATCTATTGTATTTCAGTTTGTGCCCATTGCCTGTTGTCCCGTCACTGGGCACCACTGAAAAGAGTTTGGCTCCATCTTCTTTATTCCCCTTATCAGGTATTTATACACATTGATAAGACACCCCCCTGCATCTTCTGTTCTCCCGCTGAACAGCCTCAACACTCTCAACCTCTCCTGTGTATGTATCCCTTAAAAATCTTCATGACACTTTACAGGACTCTATCCAGTATGTCCATGTCTCTCTTATCCTTAGGAGCCCAAACCTGGACACAGCACTGTAGATATGGTCTCACCAGTGCTGAGTAGAGAGGGAGGATGACATCCTTTGATGCACTGGCAATGTTTTTCCTAAGTCAGCCCAAGAAGCTGTTGGTTGTCTTTGGTGCCAGGGCACATTTTTGGCTTGTGTTCAACTTGGTGTCCATCAGGGTCTCCCAGGTCCTTCTCTGCAAAACTGCTTTCCAGATAGTTCGCAACAGCACATACTGGTGCATGGGGTTATTCCTCCCCAGATGCAGGATTTGGCATTTCCCTTTCTTTAATATCATGAGGTTCCTGTCAAGCAATTTCTTCAGCCTGTCAGGATCCATCTGAATGGCAGAACAACTATCTAGTGTATCAGCCACTCCTCTTATTTTTGTATCCTCTGTGAGAACTTGCTGAGGGTGCATTCTGTGGCATCACTCAGGTAATTAACGAAGAAGTCAAACAGTATCAACCCCTGGGCTAAACCTAAGAGTAACTGGTCTCCACGCAGACTTTGTTCTGCTGTTCACAACCCTACATACAAATGATAGCAACTGATGAAAAAGTTGCTCAGCACTTTATGAGTTTTTTATTTGAAGTCCTGCCTTCTGAGTTGCGATCCCTATAGAACAGAAAACTTTGAATTTTCCCTTCTCTCTTTCTCCAAAAAGTTAAAAAAAAAGATCCTCAGTGTAAACTCAGACAATTTTAGTAGGAATTACTTGTCATAGCTCAGAAAAACTACATATTCAATACCGTGTTTGTATATGCAGATATACATACAACTGCATTTTATCTAGAGATAACAGCAAGGTTAGGATTCAATGTTGGATTAAGATCTCAATCTGTATTTACATATGCGCTATATGTCTATTGCATATGTGTTATACATCTAAGCCGTCATTGCAGTCCATGGAAATACAGGGTAACATCCAATTGCTAAAATATCAGTAATGAGTGCCAGTTGAGATGTTGTAAGAAAACCCACTTAGTGTCCAGCTCCTGAAGGGGCTTGGGTCTTTCTGTGGGGAAGTGACCTGAGCCCTTTGTCAATACAGTTAATGAAGCCCAGTGAGTTATTCACCCTATATGAAGACAGACACCTAAGGAAGCAACTCAGTTGCCCAAAAGTAAGTGTCTGGTGCTACCTAAGATTTCTTTGAATATCCAAGACATCCTCATGGGACTGGCACATATGACATATGACACATATGACACTGGCCTTATGGGAAATTCCAGAGGCTTCCTTAAATGGGAGACATCCAGAGTGCCAGCTCATAGCTAAGTGGGATATTCTTGTGTATCTCAAATAGATCTAGACATGCATATGTGGGCCCATGAATCATACACCAGGCCTCCATTAGTAATATTGGGAGCTTAGATACCTAGTCACGTGGTGACACATGAATGCAAATCTGAATCACAACATGAATTGCAGCTCAAGTTCTTATGCTTTATACAATAACGTAGGCTAAAGTGTTCCACGTGTCTAAGGGTACATTATATATTACTGTTATAAGATTTTATTATCCTGCCATGACTAATTCCCATGTCATTTTAACCAGAAAGTATTTAAGAATATTTTTTATTTATTTCTCCTTTCCAGGAGAAAAAAAAGAAAAAAGGTACACTACTGTGTGCACTCATACTGTACCTAGAACTCTTCCTAGACTAAAAAAAAATTATTTTATATGAGACTAATATAAAGAAAAGTATGTAAATATTTCTATTCCCAGATGCATGCATTAGTCAGTGTGCACAGTATAACATAGAGGCAAACAGATATAAAATTTTAAAAAGCAAGTAAACATTCCTAAGAGCAATTCCATGCCCAGATAAACATCATTAGCAGGCGTGTGTGTAAGTGTGCCCATTTTACCTGACCTCTTTTTTCTTTTGCAAGTTTTGTAAACCTGTCCTTCAAATTCACTTGTCTTCTTGTCTCAGGATACTTTGAAATTATGACATTGGTAATTCAGGGAAAGAAAATCTGATTTCAGTATTTTTCATTTTCATACCAGCTCAAACCAGAAATTAATCAAGTCCAGCTATGTTTTTTTAAACAACAACTAGTACCAGTCACTTCAAGAAAAACCAAATACAGCTTTGAATAGGAGATTCAGAAACTGAGAAAAAGAATTATCAATACCCATTACTAAGAATTTGATTTACACTCTAAAATACTTTGTTTTCATTCCTCACTTTTGTGTGTAGTTCAAGACCAATGGCCCCAGGTAGTCAAAGAGATAACATTTTATTCTTATAGCACCTTGGAAATACAATCCCCATTTTCAAATAATGATAGTAATTAGGTTCTAACCCTTCTTCAGATATATGTTAATTAGGGTATGTTATCCTGCAGTTTTTTCATGGCCTGCTCCCCCTATTTTCTACACTGCACCTATGAAAAATAATTTCTAAGATTCCTTCTGGAGTGACAAATTAGGTCTTTTCCTCCCAGACACATATGAAGAATCTAGGTCTTGGGGCTGCTCCTACAGACAATACAAATACAAGAGTGGCAGATCTGGAGTTCCCTCACTCACCCCTCAGCCACAAGACTTCATTCACCCTCCTGTCCCATCCATCTCAATGCACCACCACACACTCTACGTCATTGCCTGGACTCAAATGTCTTCCAGGTTGCATCATGATTCCTTCCTCAAATCTAACAAATTATAAAGAAATAGTTTTGTTTCTTACAGAACTACCAAAAAAATCAGAGCAAGGAGAGGACACTTGCCTCATAGGAAGCCAAGGCTGGTTTACAATTTGTGTCAAGGTCACTTTGCAAGAGAGGTACCCTGGCAAGAAACTGTGGGAACATGGCAGGATGTTGAAGTGTAGCTCCAAGTTTGGCAACTAGAAAAAAAGACCCCTTAAACATTGCCTGTATTAAAGCCAGCAATTAAATGAGGAATAGCACTGAGCAGAAAAATGTAGAGTAAGTTAGAGAAGGCAGGAGGAGAAAAAGAGAAAAGAGCCTAAATTGGGGATCATGACAATACAGTGGAAAAAAATCTGTATCTATATGAAAGGGTGGACTGTATGCAGTATGTATGTGAGCCACTCTGGGTCAATTGCCTTGGGACACAGAGGCTTTTCCCAACAGCAGGTCATGCCAGCACAGGGCTCACACTGAGCTCCCCACATGACCTGAAAAATGGCACCTGGGTCAAGGTTGCTCTGAGTACTTTCATTTGGTTTTACTCATTTTTAACAGCTTAAAACTTCTCTGTATCTCACAAAACCTTTGTTGAATAAGACTTTTGTTTTGTTTTGTTTTGCTTTCTTTTAAATAGACTTTTATGAAAAATAGCTGATATGGTTTAAAGTAGGGATGCGTTACTCAACAAGTACCATTTTTCAGACACTCATTCAAATGCTGTTTATAGTAAAACTGCAATGGATATCACTGTGTACCTAGTCTCAATACAATTTAAAAAAGCAGCAAGCATAAGGTGAGAGAGATTTGTAGGGAATAATTTATTAGAGGACAGTGCTGTTACTTGTAAAACAATATTTTAGAAAAAGAATAATTCTCAAAATACAACATTTCAAAAATTCATTATATTTTTATTTGATAAGATTGAGCTATTCTTCTTGAATGTCCGTTTCTTATTTTCTTTAGACATACATATATGTTTAAATGCACCTTGTATCTCCTAGGAAAAAAGGTCCTGAAGTACTTTTTCTCATAACTAATGTACTAGCATTTCAAATAAATACTTTAAAGTGACAACTTTCCTCAGTGCAGCTGGTGAAAGAGAACAAAAAGCATTTATTTCCTTCAGAAGCAAATCTCATTGTTCCTTTCATGACTAACAAAAGATGAGGCATAACTATAGCCATGTAACAGGTTATCTTTGTCTTTCTCTCATTCTATAGATAGGTAGATACATATATACATTGTTTATTTCTGTTTATAGCTGTATTTTTATATGTTTACTAAGATAATATTCTTATTCAGATTATAACAGGGTTTAGACTAATTTATCAAAGATTTCAGATTAACCTCAATATTTCCATAGCATCGTCTCAGGAGCATGAAATAATATAAGGGGTTGAAGCGATCTCTGCTTAGTCAAGTTCAGTTCTATTCTGAAACACTTATGTAAACATGAATTTTGTTTACTAAATGTTGCCTTTTTCTACATGCTCTGAGTTACAACTGATAATAATAGGAATTGTAAAAAAAAAGTTGTTTCTAACTACATCAGAGTAAAAAGCTAATGTAGCTCTAGTAAAATGCAGATTCTACTCTCAGCAAGTTATTTGTAAAGTTCTAACTCCTAATTCTTTCTTCCTGGTCATGTATGAACAAAAAATCTGGCTTGACAGGTTTTGTCAGACAAAATTTGTATGTCTGGCAGTTGGATACTTTACCTTTTACTTCATTTTGGAACTTATAAATGTGAAATGTTAGAGATGATACACCTGGTACCCCATGAAGCTCTTTTACCAGCTCAGGCTGAAGAGGAATAACATGCTGAGCTTCTCTTGGATGGGAGGACTCAGTCGATGCATCTCATCACATCTTACAGTGCAGAGGGCTGTGCAAAGATCACCTGCTGTGCGTCCCTAATTTAGGTGTCACAACTATGTCTCTCCAGGTTTCTCAGGCAGTCTAAATCAATTGTTAGTCTCCTGAATTTAAGTGACAAGGAGGGTTTTTCTCAGTGGCAGTTTCTGATTTTCGTGCTTCTCTCAATGTCACTGTCTCTCTCATTTGTGCTAGTACAAGAGTTTACAGGACCACACTGTGAAACTCCTCAGGGTATTTCTGACCCAAAGGATCTCCTTGATCCAGTTGACCTTGCGTCACAGATGATGACAGACAGACAGGGTGGCCACAGTGCTCATAGCAGTTTAGTCACACGCTTACAGCAAGCGGACACAATGTTAGGTACAATAAAACATTTTAATAGTGTAAACACATCACACAAAAAAATTCTTTTTACAGTTGCACCTTGTGCAAGGATTCATATTTCAGTATATAAAGCAGGATTTGGCCGTTAAAAAAATCATGGCAAAGTCTCATTTTATTCATTCACATGCCACACATGAAAGACTGTAAGAGATCTCTTTTGCTGTTGGGCAAAAACATACTGCCTAACACATACATCAGTATACCTTACCCTGAGCTATTTCCCTTTCTTTGTCCCCTACAGCTGTGTCAGTAGGGGATTGGTATTGTATAGTAGGAGAACGTGCTTTCCTGTTTACTTGTAGTTTATTTATATGTATAGCTAACACCTTTGTGCTGGCTGTTAAAAATATTTTTCATGTCTGTTCATATTCCTGGTTTTTGGCAGACTGAGGTGTTTGTAAAATCCTTGTCTTTCACCTTATTATTTCTTAAATGATGAAAAGTTTGTCAAGTAAAACAAAATATGGGATACCAGGCCTTCAAAAAGGTAAAAAGCAACATGATCCTGAAGAATAAATGTTGCTTGTCATGTATATCTTTAGTAAGCTATAAAAAATGCTGTGCTCATAATTTCAAGGCATGGGCCAGGTTCTTCTTTTAAACATTTGTGATGCTACGGAATTCAATGGATATAACTACAAGCATAGCTTGGCTTTATATTATCAACATCCAAAACTGAACTGATACCTTTAATACAGTAAGATTGTTTCTAGAAAAGCACAACTACATTACAGGTAATAGCAATTTGTATTTCTCTGCTCTATAGTGGTTATATGTATACCATGACAAATAAAAATTTAATTTAGCAAATAAAAAATTATATTGTGAAATCTTACCTATATGAATCTAATGAAAAAATCATGTATTTTCCTATGAAATATATAACTTGATGTTAAAATTTTCAGCATTTTAGTAACCTAAACAGCAAGAGTAAGAGGAAACTACTTGTGCTCAAATATGTAAGTAAACTTGCACGCTAATCCGTGGTTAAATGAGTATTTTAAAATATTATCCTAATTTATTTGATTTCAACATTTTGCTCTGAAAATCCTGTTTCTCTCTAGCACTTTATAAAACCACTAAGACCAAGGACAGCTCTTGACAATTCTATGGGAAATGTTGAGCTATACCCTCAACAGGCAAAAAGGGGCCTAAACTATATCATATTAGTTATGGTGTTCTGTGAATAAAAAACACAAAAGATCAGCTTTATGGAAGACTGTTAAGTATCCGTGCAATTTCAAATCCTAGGAAACACTGCAAACCCACTGATTAAAATAAACAATATGAAGCAAAATTGATTTAGACTGATCTGTTTCTTTAGGCAAAGAGGAAAAGTAGTCTAAACTTGTGCATTTAGAACTTAAACACTGACTGACAGGGTCTCCCCTAGCCTCCTTTTCTCCAGGCTAAACAATCCAAGCTCCCTCAGCTGCTCCTCATAAGACTTGTACTTGGGACTCCTCACGAGCTTTGTTGCCCTTCTCTAGACATGCTCCAGCACCTCAATATCTTTCCTGTAGTGAGGGGCCTAAAATTGAACACACTTGAGTACTTGATGTGCGGCCAAGTACAGGGGTATGATCAATTCCCTAGTCCTACTGACCACACTATTTTTGATACAAGTCAGGAGGTTGTTGACCTTTTTGGCCACCTGGGCACACTGCTGGCTCATTTTCAGCCAGCAGTTTCTATGTCTGTTTCAATTTTATGCTCAGCCTTCCACGGTTTGCCTGGATCTTAAAACTGATAGTTTCAGACTGCAGAAGAGGAATAATGTTGGGTCACCACAACCTGGGGTCCTTCACAGGAATATGATGTTGACAGTTAATTCTTTCACACCCCAGGATTCACTTTATGTCCTTTTTATACATTTGCTATCACACTTTTATACCTTTGCTCTTCATCCATTCATCTGTTACTCCAAATTACATCTGAATTCACTATACATAGAGCCATTTACATTAGTTAGATACTATCTCTTGGTTCTCTTTCTTACGCCAGTTTTGTCTAGCTCCAGGTCTGCAATTCTTTAACTTAACATGGGTCAACTATAGACCCATGGGGTCCCCAGTACCAGCCATGGGGTCCCCAGTACCAACCCTGTGCCCTGTCCTTTACCATCCATGCCTGTGTTCCTCTACATCACACCCTGTGTCTGCAGTTCTCAAGGCCTCTGCTATTGCACTAAGCCTGTATTTTTCTACATTGCATTGTTGTGTTAAAGTCACAAATGTCTCATTCTACATAGAAAAACTGCTTGTTACTGCTAACTGTATAAAAATAGGGTTGCCTCATGCAAAGGTAAACGAAAGTAAAACAAATATGTTGTAGCCACCTGGTCAACGAGAAAAAAAACTACATGCTGTCACAGCTAAATCTAGCAAAACACAGCTGCATGCAGGTCAAGAAAAGTTCAGATAGGACAGATCTAACGAGCCTCAGTTGGGAGGACTTGAAAACCCAGTACAAAGCTGGGCATGGCACTGCATGTTACAATGCTATGCAGTTATACCAGGACAGTCTGAGACACTCACCCCTTTCTGGCACTGCGGGGAAGCCTTCTCAGCCATGTCCTGTGTCCTTTCTGGCAGCTCCTGGCAGATGCCTTAGGCCATCTCAAAAGGGATAAACAGGCTTCATGAAGCCAGCTGAATTGAGCCCTCTGGATCAATGGAGCACCTTGGAATAGTGATTCCTCTCACCTGAGAAAGGTATCTCAGGTCACATAGGTCTCTTCTGGCAGTGAAGAGATCAATTCAAGAATATCTAATATATAATATTAGTTACAAAAAGTTACAAAAAGTTACAAGAGATAAATCTCACTTTTAGCACAGGATTCAATCCAGCTAATTCCTTCCAGCTTCTCCTTCTAGGAAACAAACCAAACCACTCTCTTCATTAGCTGCACGGGGAATTTGTATACTTACCCTAGCAGGACTGGTCTTCTATACCACCTGATATTCAGGCACCAACTGGATTTACCATCTAGTCTTCTACTTCCACAGTAGCACACAACAGCCATGATGTGAAGGGCCTCTACTAAAACTATATAGCCTGTAGCTTTGAAGCTGAATAAAAAGAGTTGTGGGAGAGTTTATTTCTTTTTCCTTTTGGGGGGAAAGCCAAGGAGAGACACCATTTTTGGTGAATAAAGCCTGTATGTCAGTTAACCCTTTCTAAAAGGAGAAGGGAAGATGCACAGTATTGAGAAGGCTGAGCGGCACTGGAAGAGATAAGTAGAGAAGTTGCTGTGGGAGCAAGCAGAGATGAAGGCAGCACAGGCCTCGCTAGCCAAACGTGGTCTTGGAGAGTCCTGGGCCAGAGGGGAATCGAGTGAGGTAGGTGGAAAGACTGCTACAGAATTTACTTACTGACAATATCTCATATCTAATGAACAGTCAACACTGATCATTCTAGCAATAGAGGGTACTGTTCAGGCTGTTACCACCCACGAGATCTCTGCTCAGTAGGAAGATGGGCACACTAGAAGCTAAGAATGGGAGGAGAGCCCTGCAAACCACCTCTTTTAGTGGCAGCGATTTGGACCCTTTTCCTTCATGGACGGACTTTGCCAAGAGGAATTGTTAGAGCATTAGGCTGTCAATCAACTGTGAATAAGACAGAAATGGATTTAGAGAGTAGTGGCTGCCTTCCTTATCCACCATGCATAACTTTGCCTTTCAAAGTTTTCTGAGATATGCAAAACTGATAGGTTATTTAGTCTTCACCTCTACCTCGACCTTGTTAAAGTAGTAAACTCTTTTGTGTAAAATACTGCTCTCTAGCAGATAAACACACAGAGAGTGCAAATGAGTTACACTTCTCCTGGGTGGGTTTTTAGCCACACTTGCCTATGAGTTTAAGGAGGAGTACTATAAATTGAATCTGGACCTTTTTGCTTGAAATCTACTTCTGTCAAGATTAATATTGTCATAAACAACATGAGTGCTAAAAAAATTTCTTCCTATCTCACCACTAAATTTCATTCTCACCTCAGTCTCCTAAGTATTCTCCTCAACTAGTTTTGCATCTTCTGCTCATGAAACCTCATATATGACAGCTTTTAGTATACAAATCACAGTTCAGTACTCACACAAATGCTTTCTGATGTGTTTTCTTAGACATCTTTTTCTCCTTCCAGCAATGATGGACATCACACATACAGAGATAAAACACATCTAATCCCAGGGATTTACGGCCTTAAGAATGAAGCTTTTCAGACACCACATGCATGACAGCAGGAGGTAGAAAGGCTAACAACCCTATCTATAAAAAGCAAGAGAAAGAATTCCAGATTATTTTGTTCACTTTTAACTCCAAATTTTATGATTAAGATGAAGATAAGAAAAGTTTGGAAAGTAAACATAAGTATTGAGCAAATTGTAGTTTAACTCTTCTAAACCTTTACAGTTTTTGAAAAAAATTTAATGTGACAAAAATACTCCTCCAATAACAAAGTTGTACAAGGTTTTTGTGACAAAGCTGTAAATCAGACAAAAGCAACCTACTTCTGTATTTCTGGAAAATTACTGGAATTTCAGGTCAATAATTTGAGAGTTTATAATCCAATGAACATACTTGCTAATTTGAGCAATGATCATTACTGTTTCAAATTTAGATAGTGTAATAACAAAGAAAATAGACCATATCAAATTCTGTGGCTTACCAAGGAAATGCAGATGAAATTTTGCTTGTGTCTACTGAGATTTTCTCTTCAGATTTCTGAATTTAATTTAATGTAATTTAATACAAAATCTTGAAGCCAAATCCTACCTTCTATGACACTCAATGAAATAAAAACCAAAACAACAAAAAAGGACTAAAAAAAAAAAAAAAAATGGAAAATATGACATTAGTCCAATAGCTAGAAATCTGTAATAGAAGTCCTGAGAAATTTCATTCCTGTTTCCTAAATGTTTTGTACATTTTAAATGTAATTGTTCTCAGATAAAATCCTGACACAGACCAGAGAGAACACAGATTTCAAACTGTCTGCCAGAAAACCTCACTGTCTTGCTAGCTCTGGCAGTTAAACAGCTTTTTTGTTATGTGCCTCTAAAAGATTATGTTGTCCACCTAGAATGTATCATGTCTGTTCCTGAGTTGCCACATAGAGCCTAGCAATTTGCAGAAACACATTAGGGTCTAAATTGCCGCGGCAAGGGCAAACATTCATTTCATTGCTGAAAAGACAGTAATCTCCAGAAGAGAAGAGCCAAGACCAGTAATAGTTTCCCTGGTCCTAGTGGAACTGTCTGTTAATGGGAATCAGAATTCTGAGTGCTGGAATTCTAGCCAAGGACCCTTTCAGCAGACATGAGAAAAGAAAGTTTTTTTGCTAACTTACATAAATATATATAAACATGCATCTATACATAAACAGGCATATACTAATATATCAGCAAAGAATCACCAGCACTGTATTTTCTAAATTTATTTATTTATTTATTTTAACGGATGTGGTTTCTTTTCCTTTAAGTCTTAAGAGGGTTTTGGAAGAGAATCTCTCTGAATTTAAAAAAAAAAAAAAGGCAATATACACTCAGGAAAGAAAGACAAAGTAAACATTCACTTTTTCATTTTCTCTAATGAAATAAGTCTTCCTCATAGCTATCAGGTGCCTATGTACCAGTCTTCAACGAGAAACATTGGTTATCTGTGCCCTAAACTATCTGGTTTCAAAGACTATAATCTGACTCTGAAAAAGGTCAAGTGTCATCAATATCCATTGTTCTTATTTTTCCCAGTTAAACTTAAACCACACTGGGCCAAAGTAGTAATTAACATGCAAAACAACTTTAGCATAAATGCTTTCTAAATCCCTGCATAATTGTAAACTCTGTCTAGTTCTCTGGCAATACAGATAAAAACACCCGCATATAACCGCTGACTAGCACAGATGTAGTTCATCTGCACAACTGCATAATCGTTTTGTTGTCTCACATTACACCCGATAACTCCTTTTATGTGCTAATTTTATTTAGTATTTTGTGTATTTGTCGATTTCAGCATTTTATTTCTAATCTGACTGTTGATTTGCAGAGTAGATCTGCTTCTCTAGGTTTGTTCATGGCCTGCTGAAGGTGAACCAGAAATCTCAGTGTTACTCAGGTTTGTACAGTCTTCTTAAAAATATTAATATGAGGGAAAGCCAATCAAGATATCAGGTACAGGATATTATTGCTGGTATGCAAAGTCATCCTTTGCTTTCAGACACATACTTCTCATTTAGTATCTATTGGTAATTTTAACAAACTTCAGAAATTAGAAGAAT